TGTAATCCTTAGAGTATAGCTTTTATGAAAAAAATGATTTTATAGTGGGTTGCCATTTAAAAAAATATTTTTTTTTGTAGAACTCAAAAACAAAAAGAAATTTCGAAAAATTTTATTCTTGTTCACAATCACATTTTTATAGTACTTTATCACTCATCAATTAGGTTTTTCAAAAAATAAATAGTTTAAGCAAAAAACCTTTGGTTCCATACTTTTTATTCACCTGGTATACAAAATCATCAGTATCATTAAATAGACATAAAAAATGTCAAATGTCAAAAAATAAAAGTCAAAATTTTTTGACAGATAGAATTTTTTAAACATTTAACTCTGTCGGAATTATAGTTATTTGAAATGTCTATTTTGACCGGACTATTGATTTTGACTCTTTTGTCAGACGCACAGCCGTGATAAATGACCCCGAATTTCGCATTCGCTGGCTATATATCTCTCACGTTCCATTGAAATCGCAAACCGCTTATTCCAAGTACCAAAAAAATGGCAAATTACAGCGAGTAACTAGGTTTAAAACTCAGGTTGCAAAACTGGCAAATTTCAGTATTTCCCCTTGACAAAACCAGACTAATTATGCCCAACAACCAGTATTTAAATGAATTAAAATTGCACAAATCGTTCGACGATACCTTAACATTGTTCCAATCGATTTGCATAAGAGATCACTATAATTGTAACAGGAAGTACTGCGTCGCCCCATTTCAGTACTGCACTTTCAAATAGAATATTTCGTTCAATTAATAGCGTAGTAGTTTGGTATTTTTTACAAATAAAGTGAATGTGGTAGCTATATAAGAGGGAAGAATTTATTGAAACGGCAGTACTACACCCGACAATGATCGCTCAAGTAAACAACACTCAAAACAAAGTTTTTTTCTAAAAATTTAGTTTCAGATCGCTGCTTTGGCCCTTTTGGCGACTTCGGCCCACGCAGGGCTATCCTACGGATTCGGGGGACACGCCATCGCCGTGGCCCCCATTGCCATCAAGGAGACAGTCGTCGACTACCACGTGAGTACCATTAGTACCACAGATAAAAACTGACAAGCAAATTTAGACCCCAGCCCACTACCAGTTCAAATACGGTGTCGAAGACCCCAAAACCGGTGATAAGAAGGAACAGTCGGAAGTCCGTGAAGGGGATGTGGTCAAAGGGGAATATTCGTTAGCCGAACCTGATGGTACTATCAGGATTGTCAAATACACCGCTGATAAGCACAATGGGTTTAACGCTATTGTGACAAGAGTGGGACATGCCGTCCATCCGCAACCCATTGTGGTCGAAAAAGCCATCGCTGTGCCCATTGCCGTCCATGGATTTGAAGGCTTAGGGCATGGGGGCTATGCACTACACGGACATGGATATTAACTTTCTGGTCATTTTTCATCGCTCTTTATGATACGTTAGTGAATCGTCGCTCATCTCTCATCGAATCTCTTGGATATTTCAAGGGGGTATTTATGTTGTAAATAGATAGGTTTATTGTAAAAGACAATACAATTTCATTGTGAACTTTATTTGTTTTATTTATTCTTCAAATTTAAAAAACCATTTTTATTTTTGGATTCCGTCTCTTACCACTTCTTTAATATTGATGTTTTAAAGACCGAAAAAGAAATCCAAACAATTTTTATTATCAATTCTGAATAATGATTTGATCAAAGCACTGCAAGGTCCTCTAGTTTTAAAATAATAAATAAGAGCAACGAAAAAGTCTACAATATGTCAAAGTCCACCATCATGATCATTTCACAAAGCCAACCTCTGAAACATCACTACACTTGAGTTAAAAACACAATATGCAACTCACGTAAAAATCTGAAAAACTTGAAATATGTTAGGTGAAACTACTCTTCGGTTCAAATTTTACTTTTTGGAGGTTCAGCCCTACTTGGTTAACGTAATTTTAGTTTTAAAAAATAAGTATGTCTTGAAAATTTTCAAAAAACCTACTTTTTGTAGAATTGTAGAGCAAACTGCCTTTTTCTCGCATTTTTACAAAGTTTTAACACTTTTCTGAGGGTTTTGTTTTTTTTCTAGAAAACAAAAAATTCTGATTTACAATAAATAAGCGCTTATGCTTTCTTATGCTCGTTCTCTCTCTTATGCTTTGCTCTCTTTTGCGATTATGCTCTTTCTCTTTCTTATGCTTTGCTGTCTTATTTGCTCTTATGCATTTATGCGCTCTCTTTGTCTCTTATTATACTTATTAAAGCAAGTAATATAATTTAATTTTCATGATACATATAAACAATGGAATAAAGAATCAAATTTCATTTATTTTTTGGCCGAATTCTGTGATGCTAAAATAATTTTGCAAAAAATGAGCCAAACTAAATGAATTTTTTCCATATTTTCGTTATTAAATTTACTTTTAAGAAAAAATATCGAAAAAATGTTTGATATTTTCCAAATTTTAAAAATAAATCGTCAGTTGTAAAAATAATCGATTTTCTTCAAAATTGCAATCACAAAATTATTGCTAGTCACTAAGCGTAAAAATACACACATTTTAATAGGCTTAAAAGTTGCTAAGTAGACAGTTAGTTATAAAAAAATATAAAAAAATAATTAGTTTTTTTTTGTTTGAAACTTAAAAATTTCAGAAACATGGTTTCAAAAAATTTTCTGATTTCTTTATCAAAAGTACATTTGATAACACAAATTAAAAAAAAAAAACTTTTAAATTGGTACATTTTTCGCATCGTTATAATCATTTCAGAAAAATGTAACGTAATTTTTCAAAAATTTACATCTCAACTGTGTAATAACAGAATGAAAAAATCATAAAAACTAAACAAAATCAAAGTGATATTGAAATTTGGGATTAATTCCAAGTAGTTTATAAAAAAAAAAGTTGTTCCTCAGGTTTTTGCATTTTTAGGGTGGAAGTGGTTACACTGTTGCGTAGACAATACCAGAAAGAAAATTTTTATTTACCTTCGACTTGTTTAGGTAATAGCCTGGTTTAGTTTACGCTAGACTGACTTTAAATTATGTTTGTGTCGTTTAATTATGGATATTTTGCCCAGATAAAGATACAGTAATTAATACCTTTGGCTCCTACGCAAGTTTTACTAGAGAAAAGCCTGAATTACGACACTTTCAGGTCTATTGTTTCATGTTTTCAGAAGTTTTTATCACAGTACTTGTATGGTACTCTCGTATTGTTCCAGTTTTGAAGAGTTTTTTTTTTGTGATTGTGAATATTATTTGCATGTAACGATTTATTAAGTAGCAAAACCGTTTATATTCAATTATTAGGTCACAAATACACAAAAATGGGACTTAAAGACTAACATAATTGGCATTTTTTATCAAATCCCAATTCCCAGCCCAATTCCGTCTAGTTTAATCCCTCCAGGGGTCAAAATTGTCGGATGAGCGGCCTTCCCTATCCTCGAAACCACCGCATTGAACCCATTTTTGTCATCAGCGGTATATTTCACAACCCTTATGGTCCCATCGGGTTCCACAAGAGAGTACTGCCCTTTGACCACATCGTCCAATCGAACTTCAGTTTGTTCTTTTTGGTCTCCAGTTTTAGGGTCACCCACTCCATACTTGAACTCGTATTTCGGAGGGGCCTACCGATCTTAGTACTCAGTACTTCTTCATAAAAATACTTACATAGAGGTCTACGATGCGTTCGCCGCCTCCGATAACACCTACGCCGCCCCCAAGAGTCTCGATCCGTCCGATGTATGAAGTGGCAACACCAGCATTGGAGGCGGTGGCAAGAGCGACAAACAAGAAAATCTGAGAAAATCAATGAAAATTGAAAATTTGAGGCTCACCTGGGCGACCATTGTGATGGTTGGATTGGGTTTGAGTGTCCAATGGTTGGAACTGCTTTTATACAGATTTGAAGGAGATTTTTTGGAAATTTGATTAAACAAGTACTCGTTTTAGTAATTCGAAAGTTAAGCAAATTTGGGTTTTCCGGCCGTGTTTTTCCCGAAAAAAGCTATTTTTTCGTTTAATTTGATCAGTATTAAGATGAGTTGGTGTTTTGTTTGAGTTTGTTTTTTTTTCTGTGGGTAGTAATGGTTGATAAATATTGCATCAACTTGCACTAAATCAGATCTAGATAGAGTTGAACTGAATTTCTGCATTTAATTATTTCTTGATTTTCTGATGCAATAAGCGATTCGATCATCATTACAGCATTTAGGATGGGTACAAAACCTTGGAACTTTATTTTACGAATCTCAGTAAATAAAAAAACAAGCTGGTTTACAATATTCAGTTTATTGCATCAGGTCGGACTGCATCGTTCTAAAAAAAAGTAAATATCTTTTCTATGAATATTTTTTTTCATTTTTTAGAAGGTTTCCTCCACAGACAAACTATTTAATTTGTCTATGTTTTCCTCAATGTATTTTTGTATTTTTTGTGGATGTTAAAACATCCAACACTGAGAATAACGTCAATTGATCTGTGGTTAAAAATTCCAATTTAATTGATTTTTTAAAATTTAATAAAAATTCTAATAGTTTGACGATAGTAGTAAACGTAAACTATGAGCTCTAAGTACGTTTTTTCTTTCACAGACTATCTGAAAATTGTTCCAGATTTATAACTGGTTTTAGGGTTGAATGTAAAAAATGATTAAAACTATTGATCGTTTAAATATTGCATCGAGATCAACGTGTGATTTTACGTCTAGAAGACTATATTTTTCACGACAAAAAGTTGAATTTTTACTTAGATGGTGAAGCGAAGAAAATCGATTTTTTTATACTCGTTTCAATAACGTTTTAAAATTACCTTAGTTTTTATTTTAAAGCTGTTTCTTTGAGTTGCTATTTATTAAAAATTATGTTTTTTACAAACATTTTGGTATTTAACTTGCGTAAACTCATTTGTCAAAGTAACATCATTGTTAAAATAATAAATCCGAAAATATGAAGGGACTTAAAAGCAGAGAAAAATTTTTGTTCAATTCTATGAGCCAAATTCAAAAATAAAATGATAAAGAAAATTCCATAGCACATCAAATTTTAAAGTTAGGTATTTTAAGATATCATATGTATGTTCGACAAAATCGCCGAAAAACAAAACACTTAAAATTCATTTTCTCCATTTTCATTTAAATTTTTTTCTTCCAATTTGGGAAAGAGGTACCCTTCAGCTATGATGGGGGATTACTGCTGGTTCCTGATAAGGGAAGTTAAAACACCCTACAAAAGAAAGACAGCTTTTGCAAAAAACTCATCTACAACTGCTTTATGTTAGGATCTTACACATCTTTCAACATTGTTCTTGTTTAGTAAATAAATTAATTTCTTTCGTCGTCTATTTAATTAATTTCTATTTGAAATGAACAATTTTTACGTGATGGAAAATTTTTCTTATCAAATTCGTAATTAGGGATGTTAATGTACTCTCTGATACACGTGTCAATAGCTCAATCCCATTAAAAAAAATTGTTGGGTAGTGTTATTCTAAATCAAAAAAAAAAACAAGAGAAAAATAAACTTTTCTTTCTACTGGGTTAGAATAATAAAGTTTTAATTACAGATTTGTTCTTTTCAGGTAAAGCAAAAAATGTTTTGCTTTGCAGTTTTGACGTAAAACCAAAGATACATTTTTTTCCTGTTGTATCCGAGAACATACTGTAAAGCCAAACACAAAATTTTTCAAAAAATATTTTTATGCGTTTCTATCCACTTTTGTGAGTTTTTTGGACCCCCAGGAGTACATTTGGTTCAATTTTAAAGCTTTTAATTTTTTCGATTTTTGTCAAAATTTTGCAGTTTTCTGGACGCTAGTCGACTCCCCGAAACATTTCAATAATAAAATAGTAATAATAAACAAACTCCCTTCCAATTGCACGAGACCTAAATATCTCCTGTGAATAATCAATCATAATACGCAACAATTTCCAGGTCACTTCAACCAACACGCCTTTCTTAATCAAACATTTATTGTTTATTGAATTAAATAACTTAGACAATCGAAATATTTAATTAGATTCCCCCGATTCCATGATGCACTACCACCCCATGTCCGTCCAAGAGTCCGCTTTCGTAGCCGTGCCCCAGGAGTCCCAGTCCTCCGACGTAGCCATGGGCCACCGGAACCACTTTCTTGACCAGCACCTGTGGATGCACAGCGTGTCCGATCCGTTGCACGATCGCATTGAACCCATTATGGTCATCGGCGGTGTATTTGACCACGCGGACGGTACCATCGGGCTCCACCAGCGAGTACTCCCCTTTGACGACATCCCCGTCGCGGACTTCCGACTGTTGGTGCTTGTCGCCGGTGTGGTGGTCCTCGATTCCATATTTAAAAGCGTATTTGGGGTGAGTGTGGACGTCCACAACTCCATGCCCCACTCCAACTACTCCATGGCTAAGTCCAACCACTCCATGGCTTAGTCCAACTACCCCCACATGGTCCTCCAATCCTCCCAAAACGACCCCAGCGCTGGCTGCGCCCAACAAAAGGGCAACAATGGCGGCCTGAAAACACCCGTAGATGGGCGAAATGGGTGGTTTGATACTCACTTGTGATATCATTTTGATGGTACTTTATGGTACTGCACTGGTTGCTGGGTGGGTACAGCGGAATTATATAGTAAAACAGTGGCCAAAAAATGGTAAATTTGCTCACGAGATTGACGGTTTGAAAGTAGAACGAAATATTTTTGTTGCCAAGTCTGTGACATTTATTTTTTCAAAAAAATACTACAATAACGAGTTTCATTGGGCGATTTATTTCGGAAAAAAACAAATAGAGGCATGTGTGTGCGTAATTTATGCGATAATTTTAATAAAATCTAATTAACTCGTTTGAATTACCCAACTTTGTTGCAATTATTGTCGAATGTCATTAATAATACAATTAGGATATTATGTCATTACCGTATTAATTACCTCAGAATTGTTGAGAAGCAAAAATGCCAAAAGAAATACAAAACTGCACTCGAGGTGCATTAGATAATTTTCTCAGTTTTTTATAGTTGTAAGGAAAAAAAACAGAAAATTATTATTTTTATTATAAAACCCAAATTAAGTAGGAGTAACATATTTCACCACTTTAAAAGCAAAAAATGCCAAAACAAATAATAAATACAAAACGACATGCGAGGTGCAAACGTTGTTGTTTATAGTAAAGAAAAAAAAATAGATAACAAGATACTGTGCCACTGGAGACGCACGAAATGCCAAAAAATACAAAACCGCACCCAAGATGTATCAATCATTTTTCTCGTAGTTTTTTTATAATAAGGGAAAAAACAATTTTTTATTAAAACCAATTAAATAACATATTTTGCCCAGAGATGCAAAACCGCACCGAGGTGCATGCATACATCATTTCTCTCGTAGCGCTGGTAAGAAAAAAACAAAAAATTAGAAATTTTTTATTAAAACCCAAATAAATAACAGTAATACACCCTAGACAAGGTCCAAACTCAGTCTTTACCTGCGTTCAGGGGTTGGGTTAGTAAAGATAATAAATTGTAAAAAAAGTAAAAGATCAGTTCGCTAATATTTTTATTTGAATTTGTGGAAGTTGCCCCAGAAATTTCTTAGAAAGCTAAAAATTGTTTTGACGTTTAGATCTTAAAAAAAAATCTAATCATAATTATTCTATCTGCCTAATAGGTTGTACATACATATTTACAAATTAGAAAGCTCACAGGTTGCATTTTCAATAGAAATTAAATTTTTATATGGGGTAACAAGACATATAATTCCATAAATTAAAATTTTTACTATCGAAAAAATTACAAATCTATGCAATTGTGGACACGAAATTTTGGACATCAAGTTATGTCATTCAAAAAATATCAATGTAAGCCACGCTTTAGTAACATTATGAAAGTTTTAGTTGAAATTTATTTTTGGCGTCGATTTTTTAATACATTCAATAATGCCAGCAGTACGTTTTTTATATAATTTTTTATTATTATTTTGATTTATTGTCTGTTTTATTTAGCTACAAAAATAAAAAAAGTTGTATATAAAGTCAGTATTACATTTTATGTCAACCGAATGACAAATCGTCCAAAATTCCGTGGCATCTAAATATCAAATTTACAATGCGCACTATAAAATTCATATTCTTTGGAGGGGTATTTTTAATTTTTTTAAGCTAGGTTTTTTTAGTTTAAAAGTGTCCTTGTTTTCCATTGCAATTTTTTGCCATTGACCACATTTATGGATATCACTAACCGTAGAAAAATGCGATGTTTTCATTTATACAAAAAGTGCATGTTTTATAAAAAAAATGTGTTAGGCCAAATATTTTTTTATAAAGGAAAACGATAAATTAAAAAACAAAAACGATTTGTCCAATGAGTTTTTCATAGTTGCACCGCTAAAAAACTATTTGTTTTAAACTTCTGGCGAGCATTTGTTTAAAAGTAATACACTTTTTTGCATACGCTCTCGAAACAATCTGAATCTTTGCTGGACCCAATAAAATAGTATGAAAAATGGTTATTGTAGGTACTCAAAACAAATAAAAAGTGCCAAAAGAAATACAAAATCGGAGCCAAAGTGTATACACTATTTTTCTTGTAGTCTTTTATAGTAAGAAAAAAACAGATAATTTATTAATTTTTTATTAAAACTTAATTAAATAACATGATAGTTTGCCACTTGAGAAAAAATGACAAAAGAGATACAAAACCACACCCGAGATGCATACATAATTTTTCTCAGGTGTCAATAGTAAGAAAAAAATCATACAATTAGCATATTTGTATCATAATCCTATTTAAATGACGATATCTTGCCAAAACTCTAATTTCCAATGTCGTATTCTACATTTTTTCTAGTATTGTATACTGCGTTTAGTTTGGATGTCATCCAGGACGGCTTGCAGCTCCTCATCCTCGAACCGTCCTTCCAGACTCGGAATCAAAGACTTGGCCTCCTCAGTGGTTTCAGGACAGAGATTCGCAATGGCGGCCAACTCAAACTTGTGCAATTTTTTCTGCATCAACAAACTACTAACCAGTAAAAAAAACACACAAGTGTGACAAAAAATACTTCCTGACTGCTGAAATAGTCTCCTTGTTTTTAAACTTCCTAAACCGGTCCGTGTACGTGAGCGTCTTCATAAAAACATCGGAAAATTCTTGCTCGTCCTCCGCCGACTCGTTCTGCGCCTTCCTGTGCTCCAACAACATGTGGACCTCCGAAATGAGCAAAGTTTCAGCATTCTCAAACTCTGAAAAGAGAAAATAAAACAAGACATTCACAACCAAGACTATATTTTTCAAGACACAGGTTTGACAATATATCCCTCTTGCACCAAAAAATCGTACAAACGCCTAGTCTTATTAACATCAATTTTGAGTATTTTCCTCGCTGTTTTCAACTTAATCGACCCCATTTTCTTATTTTCGGCGATAAGAATGTCTTTGAGTTCGAGATAAGTGATCGGTACTAGTCTCACAGTCCGGCACAACTCCCTTTCAGACGGAGTCAGTTTTTCGTAGCCCGGCATCCCGATAATTTCAATCGGAGTAAACCCGGACTTTTTCCTCGGGGTTTCCACCGGAAAACTCCGGTTGTTCAGCTTCCAGTTGAACTGAGCACTGGCGTGCAGTGTCTTCAGTTCGTTCTCGCATTTCTCGTGCACTTCTTTCAGTTTCAGGTAGAGTCGAGCGTCGGCGAGGGATGTAATTCCGTGTTGACGTAATTCGCACAATCTGGAAAACCCCCACTGTAAAACTCGTTTTATTGTTCGATTTGCAACCTCATAATTTGGATTTTGAGTTCGCCGCTGTGGTGCAGCCCCTCCATCAGTATCTCGAACTGGACAGGGGTGCAAAATTGCATAAACCTGATCAGTTTTTCGTACACAGGGCGAGTAATTGTGACGTCATAGCGGTGTAGCCACGCGTTAACTTTCCGTAGAATGATTAATCCATGGTCTCTTATGATTTTTTTCCACCTTTGGCGCTCCACTAACCGCCGGTTGTAACTCCGGATAATCGAACATTGCAGATTTGTGATTAAATCGAAATGGGGGTCGTCCTTATCGACCGGTTTCAGGTTCGAGAGTAAGTCTTCGGCTGAGGAATCGAACTCGCATTCGAAATCAGACCGCGCGGGGTTATACCCGGCCAGGGATTTGTACCCCACTGTGTTGGGCGAGTAGCGAGGGGGCTCATCGGTGTCGCTGATCCGGTGTCTGTACGGCACCACAGTCTCGTAAAGCAAGTCAGGACTCCTCACTTCGGGCAACTCACTCGCCCCCTTTCGGTCTAAATAAAACCAATCGTAATGAGCCCTAATCTCCCTCACACTCCTATGGGGCAACTCTTTTGCCACCAAATTCCAATTCCCGTATTTCTGCAACGACTCGAGCAACACAACCTCCTCGCGGGCCGTCCAATCCGTGTTCCCCCAAACCGGAAAATCGTCTCGGATTATGTGATAATCGTGATCGTTCTTGTGCCCCCCGAATTCCGCACCTTTTGAAAAACACAACGTACAAATATTCACTTTACACAAAGCGCAATAAATGTAAGGGGCGACTAAATCGCACGAACAACTCGAACAAACACTATCTGAGTCACTAGAGTAAAACGCAGGGGGGCCACATTCTGAAACTTCAATTGAGAACAAGAAGTGTACCAAAGGAGCTCACCTTTCGGGAACTGCAAATCAGCGGCGTCCTCCTCCGTTAAATCGGTGTTCGCGTTTGCCATCTGCACAAAAATCCTTTTTGTTGTCGCAAAATGAGAGGTTATGAGAGCGGCTCACGATACCAACCACGCAAAGATTACGTTACTGTTGCGATGTTTATGTAGACTATTTACATAAAATAACGTAACTAGTACACAATCAACTTGTTATTATTATTACAAAAAGTGTGATAATGTGGTAAAAAGTTGTTCGGAAATATTTAATTGGAGTTATTCGGCTTGATTTGTTTTTATTGTTGCCAACAGTGACTACAAAAAGTCACCAAACCGTTAAATTTTCGAAAAAAAAAATAAAAAAAACATTAATTTACAGTATAAACTACTTTACGTTGATTTACAGTAAACCACAATATAGAAAACTGATCAGTGGAGTTATATAATCACAATTTTTTAGGTTAGGTCACCAAAAATGTCACTTCTAAGGGGGCGTCAAATTCTCTCATTTCTCCAAAAATCGACTCAAATTGGGATGATAAACAGTACCAATCTGAGAATTCTTTCAACTAAAATCGCCTCATTTGATGAAGTTAAGTCAGTTAAAATGAATCCAAAGACTCTTCTAATCGACGTCAGGGAGCCCCACGAACTGCAAGAAACCGGAGTTATCCCCGATAGCATCAATATTCCCCTTGGGGAAGTCGCTAAAGTGTTAACAAACATGTCTTCTGAACAATTTCAAAAGACTTATAATAGATCCAAACCTGATTCTAGCACCCCCATTATTTTTTCGTGCCGTTCGGGGAAACGTAGCGCTCTTGCACAGGAAGTAGCAACGAAATTGGGGTTCAAAAATATAAAAAACTATTCAGGGGGGTGGCTGGAATGGGAGGAAAAAAATAAAAAAGGTTAAAATATTAATAAATAAATAAAGTGGAGATTGGAGTTTCATTTGACGCTTAGTTTATTTAATAAGCAATTATTTGAGAGATATGAATAATTTAGGTACGCGAAGGCCGTTTATTTTTGGAGGAATGTTTAGACAGATTTTGAATCGCTCAATTTTAAATAAATTTAATTTAATTGGGGAAAAAAGTGATACAAACGTTATCTCAATTGCGAGTTTCCGACCTCGCTCGAAACCGTTGTGAATGAATCCCCGAGACGTCCACCTTGAGGCAGGGCCTCCGTCGTGTATCATCGCGAGTTGACCGGCGCGCCAAAAACCATTTCATATCACATGTTGCCTCCTCCGTGCAACAATCACGCTCCAACTTTGCTAATTTCCGGTGTTTCGTTGTCGGTGAGTGCGAGTTGAGTGATGCGGGAGTCTTGGCGCTTCCTCCAGGTAAGCCTCTCGGCCCCCAGTGGCGGGTCTCGCTCGCCTTGCGCCCCCAATCCCAGCCGTTTTATCGAAATTATCGGTTATTTACACTGCGTGTTGTTATCGCAACAGCAGTTTAACAGGTGTTATCGGGGGTTGGGGCGCTGAATGGCAATGGACACGTCGGACGTGTCCCATTGTTCAAATGGGCTCGATAAGGAGTCTGCTTTCTAGTGCGTGAGGAGATTCAAGAATGAAGTTTTAGGCAAAACGGTTACGGTCTTGAATGAGCAGTTAGACAATCAAGTACATCGGAAAAATACGAATTGTAATAATTTAAACCGTTTTTTTATTAACTTAATTGAGAAATAATTACGAAACAGTAGTCCAAACATGAGAAATGTCTAGCATTTTGTGTTTTTTTCTTACCGAGAAAAGCATTAAAAAATTATAAATTCATTACTCAAGGTCCTCAATGAGCAAATTATTCGATTAGTAAATTGTCAAGTGCATAGGAAAATTAATAACAATTACAATAAAGTTCATTTGTGTCAATAATTTTCCTACGAAAACAGTATTTAAAAAACGTGTTCATGAAGAGATAGTCAAAAATTGGAGAATAAATAAATGAGTTTCTAATTCTAATTCTTTCAAAAATGGAAGAAACAAGACAAAATTTACAGAGACAAATGTGAGCTCGCAGATCGAAGATCTTAACTTAAAATTTATTTAAAAAAATATACTGGAATTATCTCAAGTTACCTTTTATTTTTGTAAATCAAGGTTCACGAAGTAAATTTTTTACTTGAGATTTTTTTTTTAGTTCAAAATCATAGTTTTTCCAGAAGGTATACTACCGGGTGACTATAAATGTTTGTGACAAAAATCTATTGGCAACACTGAATTATTGTTAATCCTTCTAATTTGTTACATCAGAACGTTTCAGGTGATGGCTAAATCAGCAGTCGCTGATGACGTTTGAATTTGGAAGTCAATGTTGCCAAACTAAAATTCTAAATTTGACATATCACAGTCATTTCAGTCCCGGTAGTTCTCGAGATTCTAAGATTTCTTGCCTAAAAAATGTGTATGCTTTTAATTTGTTCAAAAACTCCTGAAAAAATTAACTTGACCGTAAAAATAACGAAAAAAGCATCTCATTCATATTAAGTAGGTCAAGGTTATGAGATCGATACAATTGTCAATACTATATTACACTTTAGCAAAATTACTACCTACAATTCGAACTTTTAGAAAAATTACGTTTTTCATGTTGCATACAGTGTGTCCCTGGATAGGCGAAACGACTTGTACAAGATAAAAAAAATCGATTCAAATTTTCATTTTCCCTGCTTGGTTAAAGACTAATTTCTAACATAAATTTAGCTTTGAAAAATCAAGTATGCCTTGGAAATTTTCAAAAATTTTCTTTTTCTGTAGCAAATAGGCACGACAAAAAATATGAAAAGTTGTTTAGAATCAACATCTAGGCTCATTTCATCGGCCAACTATGATTTTGCATTTTTTTTTATATTTATTAATTTACAAATTAAAGAATTTTATTTTTAATAGTTCTTTCATTACGAATAAAAAATACATTTAGATTATTAGTACTCAATAAATTTTTGACGTTTCTGTTGTAAGAATCAATTATCTGGGAAAAAAATTAAACATCATAGTTGGTCGGTGAATCAAAAAAAAAATCATATAAGTCGTCATTTTGACAGAAAAAATCACTTGACTCAAGTCAAAACAAAATTTCATTCTCAAAAACGATCATATTTTTTGTAGCAGTTTTAATTTTTATTTTCTGAAGACAAATGATGAAAAAACAGCTTGGTTCCATTTTTTCTGTTCACTTTGTATATGAACTTAAAGTAAAATTGACAATCATCGAAATCATATAGTGATTGACCACGTATATCGTATAACCTTGAGCCACTTCATATAAAAGAAATTGACACTATGAGCGTCTTATTAATTTCATTAAATTTCCATTATACAGGCTGATTTTAATAATTGTGCAGAAATTTTAACAGATCAACATTCGGATAAGACAAGTTCAGTTATTTTGACTTTTTTCGACATGCACAACTATTAAAGTCACCCTGTATTAAAAGAATGTGGAATATTTAACTTGACTTAACAAGAAAGTCGTAAAACAATAAAACCAACTAATTAGCATTAATTTAATCATTTATTGACCACGAATCAACTGAAATAATCTCCGACTGGAGGGAGTCTTATCGCGCTTGTAGGTAAATATTATTTGTGTAATTGGGTTTTGTGTTGATTATTTTAGGTCGTTTCCGGTGTCAGATTAGCGTCAAACAACTTTATTAAAACGCAACGTGAATAAAAACTCCTTGAGCTTTCTCCACCCAATTTAAATATCCAATAAACTTGTCCTTGACAAATCCATTGTCGTCCAAATAGAATAAAACTTCATTCTCCGTTTCGATTTATTAACAACAACGACAAAACAATTACAAGCAATTAACAAAACGATTAAAAACCAATTTGTCAATTAATTATTGACATCAACATTGTATCAAATTCTCTTGACCATTACCCCCACGAGGCCGCATGTCAGCACCACGACGGCGACACCCAAACCCAGAACCGCCCATTTGGGATTCGCCGGTTCGGGTGAATCGGGGGGAAGTACCCGGAATTGGAACTGGGATTCCCAGTCGACGGAAAGGTTGGCGGTTGATCGCCGATTCCGGACGCCTTCTTCACAGAGACGACTTTGGCAGTCTCGGGGGCGCAGACAGGCCGACATACGCACTGAAAGTAAAAGATCGTCGGCGGGGGCGGCGCCTTGGAATAAGAAAGCGCGGAATGGGAATTGAACGGACAAGGGGGCGGTATGCTGGGGCTGTTGGGGGCAGATCGAGCGGATTGTGGGGTTGCGGCAACCGTGCTCGTCGACGAGCACGACGGAGCGCTGCGAGGAGGCGCTTCGGATGATGACGCTGCCGAGACGACAAGACTTCCACCCTTCAAAGGGGAAATATTTTTTAAATGATTATACAGGGTGTTAAAAAAAAATCTATCTATAAAAATTTCGAAGTTATGAGAGATTAGATTTTGTACTTTGACTCTATTTATTTCTGTTGGAAAAATAATTTTCCAAGTTTTTTTTGCTACAGGCTATTAGTAGAAGATACAAGGAAGTTGTATCCTAAATTGTAACTCTGTTTAATGTTATTTGTGGCTTTTATTGGCAAAATTTTTGTACTTTTACTAAATAATTATAAAAAAACATATACAAGAACATTTTTTTCATGTTCCTGGTAGCCTATCTTACTTGAAATTTTTCTCTGGGGCGCGAGTTCTGGCGCACCCTGTATAGTGGATCACGAGTTGAGGACAAATAAAAGACTTTTCCTTAAATAGCCGACGTTTCGAAATTTTATAATTTCATCATCAAGGCTTATAAGAAAATTACTACGTGAGGAGTTTTTTTTTATAAAATGATTTTTCATCATTTTTGTCAATTGTATGTGGTTGAAGGTAGCACTGATGATGAAATTTATAAATAAAATTACGAAACGTCGGCTATTTAAGGAAAAGTCTTTTATTTGTCCTCAACTCGTGATCCACTATATTAATGATGCAGGACGTTAACACAACTAATATTTTTTAATTGATTGGCAACAATGGGGATTTTTTATTATTAGATATATCTATTGGCAACATTCTGATTGTTTTAGATGAATTTGACAGTTAGTGTTGCCAAATTAAGATTAGATTTGTGGCCTACTTGACCATAAAAATCGCAACCATTCTTAATCAATCACGCGGTAAATTCAATGCTGCCAATTTAATTTCAAAGACACAAGCCACTTTATTTTACAAATTCTATAAAATAATAATTAGTGTTTTCCATTTTAATGGTCTCCAATACTGCAATAAACAATGTTTGTTCACTTTAATTTTGCTACTGGAGGCAATATTCTAATAAAATAAATTACCGACAATTATGGTAAAAATTATCGGTAATTTAAATATAAAGTGACCAGACGACAGGTTAATGGAGTATTTATAAAATAAATAAATTGTTAATCGCTGCAATAAAATGAATCGACTTTAATAAAATTATGTTTTTTTTTAACTGAAAACACATTTATCGCACAATTACGCATGTTTTCCAAAACAGAAGTTGTGAGAAATTCCGACAATGCGTATTGATTCAAATTTCTATAAATATCTTCGTAATCTGCTTAGGAAGTTAGAGAAAGGAATTTCACTCACCATCGCCCTCGCGAACCGCCGTTCGCAACATTAATTCATCCCCTAGATGAACGGCACTGCCTTGATGGACCGGCTGGTCAAAAACCCCGTTATTTTTCCTCCAAAGAGTGACAACACTGTCGAATTTGCGTTGATTTCCTCCGGATGCAACCGAAATGGACTTGGAATTAGACCTACCCTGTCTAAGATTTGATTAAAAATAAAATTCTTTAATTAAAACCTACTCTAAGGGTTGTCCATTGAGTCGCAAATGTTTGGTGTGAGTCACCACCGCTTCCTGCGGGGTACATTGCAAGGTCACTAGCGGGTCGTCGATTAGTCTCAAACCCGGAATCGTGGCCATACGTAACACAAGACACATCCGGACTCCGCAAGTCCTAATGCCACAATCGGCCATTTTTTGCCCTTCTAGATCAACCCGGAAGACGTCCAACCCCGACGGGCTTACAGCACACTCTGACGCATCCATCACGGGGAAACCCCGGGAATTCGTCCGAAGGAAAGCGCGGAAAAAGCCACTCCCGTCCCGCGAGTCCAAACACGACATGTTTAGGACTTGCAGAGGGGTTTTGACTGGGGGTAAATACTGGTTCGGGGGGGCCGAAATGACGATTCCGTCGTCGGGTGGTATTAGTTCGTCGTGGAGAGGGGGCGGCAAGTATGTTGGTGTCGGGGGTGGTAGGTACACTGGGGGTGGTAAAGTTACAGGGTCGTCGAGTTGAAATGGGGGTTGGGGGTACGAGTAACCGTCACATTTGATGGACACGATCAACGTCAGTTTCACTAGAATAATGGTCAATTTCGTGGCCATTTTTGGACTAAACTGGGCCAGTATCGGGTTTGTATTTATATGAACGGTGTTTTAAAATCGTGATTGACGAGTTCGGGTGCACTCATTCTCGAATTCGGTGTTTTTAAAGACGTGCATAATGGGTTTTATTGATTTGTGATGTTTGATGGATCTTTGGACAAGTAAGGAACTTGTTCGGATAAGTGAAATTTGGTGACACGTGAGCTAATGTGGCCCGATTCCGGTGATTTACCGTGGGAGGAATTTCTTGCACAATATGGACCCAATTAAAGGAACAAAGTACAACTGTGAAGTTCAAGATAATTTGTTAACTTAAAAACACTAAAAAAGTGATTTTTTTTAGTGGTTTTTCCCTGAAAACTAGACTGAAAACTGTTAAAAAAACGGAAACTACGAATTTTCCGTCTCTAAATTCCATTTACACAAAAAAATTGAAACACCTCAACATAAATAGTTTTTCTATTATTTTCTATTACAAAAAAGTATGGAAAAAACTAAATTTAAACTTATAAAACGATTACATGAAAGCAAATGAATATTTCATTGAATCGATTAGTTGGAACGCCAATGTTTTAAATAATGCATGTTAATTCCTCAACAATGTTGAAATAATAACTCACTCTGTTTAAAAATAGTTCACTATAACAACCTCGTTTAAGAATAAAAATGATTAATTCACGTCATAACAATTCGATGGATTAATCACTGAAGAGTTATGAAGCCTAAAGATTAGCAAGTTTAATAAACACGAATTTATTTTTTTCAGGGAATCCCTTGATGCATGGAGGCGGCGTTGCGCCCCCGTGGCCCCCCGCGCCGTAAGTTCAGTTTCCCCGCCGCCTTGACCATCACCGACCCCCTCCCCCCCAACTCCAAACGCCGTTTCAGCAACGTCGGCGACGCCGTCACCCGCAAACTCTCCACAACCATTGGTTGGCGGCGCCCTCCTGAAGAAGTCGTCGCCGTGGGCCGAGCCCTCTGCGTCCTTTACATCCGTAGTCGCCTGAAACGCGCCGGACTTTTCAACCGGAAATTGGGCCTTACGCGTGTCCGCAGCACTGTAAGCGCCGTCCCCGGGGGCGGCAGCGCCACAGTCCGGGAGGTGTTCCCCGGTTTGGCGTGTGCCTGCGCCGAGTTGGAGAGGGCCCATTCCCGACTCTACCAAAACATCGCACGACAGACAGGAGTGGGGCCCGAGACGGGGCCTGGGGGGCTGCTGGCTGCGATAGGACACCAGTTGATGCGGTGCGAGCCGGCGTGGGGTAAAGTCGTGGCGGTTTATAGCGTGGCAGGGGGGCTGGCGGTGGACTGTGTAAGGCTGGGGCATCCGGAAAATGTCCACGATTTGATTGATGGGATGACGGAGCTGTTGGAGGATAGGTTGGCCATGTGGGTGGCGGCCAATGGGGGCTGGGTGAGTCACGCAAAATTTGATTTGAGACATGTGGTGTGATTTTTTTCTTGCAGACTGGCTTGAGTAGTCACTGCCGACCCGAGGACCAAGACATCTCTTTCATCGAATATCTCGGAATCTTAGCCCTAGTATTAGCAATCCTACTTACGGCCTACATTATAGTAAGATTCTTCGTTAAATTCAGCATGTTGTAGCTTACAGAAATAAATTACGTTGAATAATTTGACTGGTCATTTAGAAAAACTTCGACATAAATAAGTTTATTTTAAGTATATTAACATTTTTAGAACGAAGAGAAAACTGTTTATCAAATAGCTAAATTAAGAAAAATTTGTACATGATTTGCACAAACCACTTATCATTACCAAAACGACACTGAACTAAGCACATGTTCTTAAAAACCGAAAAACTGAACCTATATACAAGCTTGAAACAAACCTTAGCCTACTTCAGTCTTCACTAAACTACACTTTAGTAAAAATCCCTTTAATGTGTCAACGCATGATTGATACTTTGCGTCATAATTGGATAGGACACCATCGGTTGTGTCGTATTCGACATTGCATTCACTTGCGACGTATTAATCGCATTTCTGTGCATCTCAATCTGTTGATTTTGCGTGAGCAACTGTTGCGCTAGCTGCGCTTGCGACGTATTAGCCAACGAGGTCAACTGTTGATTAGCCAACTGTTGCTGTTGATTGGCCAATTGTTGCGCTTGTTGCGTGTTAGCCAAAGTCAACTGTTGGGTAGTCGTAGCCAATGCCAATTGAGCTTGCGATGTCAATTGTGGTTGGGCTTGTTGAGCGAGATTATTGGCCAAATTCTGCTGGGCTATCGCTAATTGCGCCTGCGTCGAGGGATTTGTCGTAACTGCAATCACTCGATTAGAGAAAACATTGACACTGGAATTCATCTACCGAGGATTTGTTGACTAGGGGCGAGGATTTGTGCAGGGGGCGCCATCGAAACGGTGGGAACACCCGCAATTGACACTGATACGGGATTACAAGTCGAAACGGTGGCCAACGACACCGGAACGGTGGCAACGCTCGCCGTCACCGTTCGGATCACTTGAGGAGTGTTGGTGTTGGTTATAGTGACGGCGGGCATCGAGACGCCTTCGTTGCGCTTATTGGAAACACGGAGATTGGCGTTTTGGTCGAGGAGGAACTCGTTAGTGGCCGTCAAATCGGACACTTGGCGCTTCAACTGGGCGATTTCTTTGTGTAACATGTTGTTCTCTTCTTCCAACATTAAAGTCCTTAAATTTGATTTTTTAATAATAAAAAGGGAAAATTTTGTTAAGTACCTTGCATCGACTCGGCTGAGCATTGGAGGTGGGGGATTCCCCGCAAAGTAACCCTTGAAAACAGCCCGGACTCGGTTCGGCTCAACCGAATGCAATTCCCCTCCATTAGTAAGTATTTCCGGTTCCGCAATGAACCGACGTTTAGGGAGTTGTAACCCACAATCTTCATATTCATCGTAACTTATCGGATTTCGTCTATGAAGACCGTTACTTGGCGTATTCATTACTTGAGATTCAGTCAGAGGATTATTGATACAAATCAAGTTTTTCTTATTGTTGTGTTGTATCAATTCCATGATTTCTGCATCTTCTTCCTCGCGGGTCAAATGTCGATACTTGCAAAAGCTGCGTCTGCATAAACCCTTCCGGAATTGATTACAAATCGGTTGAGCTCCGGGTAATTGATTTTTCCGGGTTGCCTCAGCGAGAATATGATTCGACATGACTCCAGTGTTTTTGTACTCGAATTCTTCCTCTGGAGTGCAATGAATGAATCTGGAATTTAGCTAATTAAATTCTGGAATTTCGGGTTTTGTCTCGACTGACTTGCAAGTGGGCCTGGGACAGATATTATTCTGATAGTCGTGGCAAAAATTCAAAGTCTTCATGTCCGTTTCGTGTTTGTACTTGCAATATCTCCGGTCGCAAATCCCCCGTATGAAATCCCTACAGACGTTGTCTTCCTTGTCGTTTTGCCCCTTCTCTTCAGAATTATCGGACATTTTCAATGAAAAAATAAATACATTAACCGCGCGCACCTGAAAATCGAATTTTCCGTTTTTCCACTTTATTGCAAATTCGCAAATCGTGTAAGAACAGTCGGGGGTTTCACCCGTCGACGGTATAAAAACGAACGTAGCTGAAATACCCCCACAGTCAAACTAAAATGTTCGACAAAATCATACTCTGTCTCGTGTACGCCACTTGTGTCTATTCCGTATCGGAAATATCGGAGGAAACGTGCGAAACACTCATGTCTGACATCAATTTGATAAAAGGTGAAGCCAAAATTGTGAAAAATCCCATGCGAATTTGTCATTTTCAGAGGAATTCGACGAATTGGGGCGCCTACAGAGAATATGCAATGGGGAGGTGGCGGTGAACAAATGCGAAGGCTCGTGCAAAAGCCAAGTCCAGCCGTCGGTCATCACCCCAACTGGATTCCTCAAAGTGAGTCATTTAATACATCGTTGATTAATTTTTCCTCCAGGAATGTTACTGCTGCAGGGAAAGCTTCCTCAGGGAACGCACCATCACTCTCACCCATTGCTACGACCCTGACGGCGTCCGTCTCACGGCCGAAACTGTCAATTCCATGGACGTGAAATTGAGAGAACCGGCCGAATGCAAATGTTACAAATGTGGTGATTTCAGCCGATAATTTTGTATCAATAAATAACGATCAAATTACACGATTTTTTCCTTACCTTATCCTCACTCTAAGGGAAGATTGTAACGCTCGTGTAACTCGGTCACTGTTACTCGTTCGACGTTTGCTAAATGACCCAGCACAGCTTGGGCCAAATCTTTCATATCATTGTAGGCGTGCAAAGCCTTTATTTCGGGCTGATAATCGCTGGTTACGCCACGTGACTTAAACTCCTCCAATTGCTGGTCGAGTAAAGCACTCTTGTTGAGCAAAAGCTGGTATTTTACCTCGAGTTCGGAGGGTTGGGCCATTTACACATTGCTAGAATTCAGAGAAAGGGTGAAAAAATCGAGTAAACAAGTAATGTAACATACAAAAAACAACCATTATTCGCGGTTTGAGTAATTAAACACCGAGGCTTTTAGCAAAGATTTCTATTGGAGAGGGAAAGCTTCCAGAGGGTAAAATTCTGTGAAAGCTCAAGCTTTTAAGACTCGGTACAAAATTGTACAATTCAATTTCCAAAAACTAGGGGTAGCTTAAATATTGAACAATTAATACAGAATTTACCTTTTCAAACGAATACAAGCAGTTTTTTGTCGTTTTTTAACACCAAAACAGTATAAAAACGTCAAGTTAAGAAACATTAACGGCCATTTTACTTCAGCTCAATCGGTAATACAGCAAACTGTAATTGTAAAGGTAGTTTTTGCAAAAAAATATATAAATTTCGTAATCCTAAAACTTCTCTTATATCATCATGTAATTTACTAATTTATAGTCCCCATGCTTTATTACAATGTTTGACACTTTTTTGTTTAATTTTTATTTAGTTTTTGAAATTAATCCTCCTGGTGATGAACCGTGCAACTACAAAAAAATGGCGGAAAGTTTCAATTTAATATTAACTCTTCAAAATTGCTGTATTCTTTAAACTGTAAACTATTAAAATTATTAAAAAGTTAAAAGTTTTTTAATTAGAGTATTGCGTTTTGTTATAAAAATAACAATAATAAACAGTTTCGTTGCTTTGTAATCGATTTATTGCCCAATAAAAAGTTAACAACAAATATACACCAAAAAGCGGAAATAAATCAAACGATATAAGGCTACATTTTTTCATTTGAAATTTCTTGTTTTTGTGCAATTTACCACTACAAAATAAGTCTAAAACCCATTTTTTCTGGTTTTTGTTCTTATTTCCCTGTGCTCCTTAAAAGCCCCATAACTTACTCCTTCGTTGAATATTTACCCACTTAAAGTCCCTCCGTCTCCCGTTGTGGCAACAAGCATATCTACTATCAGCATGACATCCCTAACACGAGTTTCACATATCATATCCTTGAAAAATATCATCGAGTCCATTGCCTTCGACTTGGTGGTGAGGGCTGTTTTATAAAAGGTCTATCCTCTGTTTACAGCATAGTCTTTCAAGTGCCGCCATCGGAATGAAACCCCTTCTTAGTTTAGGTATGTCTGCCACCCCCAAACTCATCTAAACAGTTTTTTCGCAGCTGCATTATGGAAATTGACGATTTTCTTATCGAGTATGTGTCTGGACCCGCGACTCAATAGTAAAATCCAGGCTTCCGGGGCTAGCACGACGGACGAGTGTCAAGTCACTCCGGTGATCCACGTTTTACAATATCCAGGATGTGTGCCTAAACCTATACCTAGTTTTGCTTGTATCGGACGCTGCGCTTCTTATATACAAGTAATTATTTTTCTAGGAACCGGAGGATTGGTAACTGGGGTTTTGTAGGTCTCAGGGAGTAAGATTTGGCAAATGGAGAGGTCCTGCATGTGCTGTCAAGAGTCTGGAGAAAGAGAGGCTTCCGTTTCACTGTTTTGCCCCAAAGCCAAGCCTGGCGAACGGAAATTTATCAAAGTTACAACTAAAGCCCCCTTGGAATGCATGTGTCGGCCTTGCACGGGAGTCGAAGAAAGTGCGGTGATTCCCCAAGAAATTGCCGGGTATGCCGACGAAGGGCCGCTATCTAACCATTTCCTCAAGTCTCATTCCCAATAATTTTGTTAATAAAAATAAAACAATAAATGCGTCCTTTACATTATTTATTTTTCTGTATCGAAACCTGAATTTAATAAATTAGATAAAACATGACTCTTTATTTTGAAACTAACAAATGCGTATTGTTAGTTGCATAATCACAGCAATGCGCAAGTTTGACAATCATTGACCTAACAAAAAATTAGAAAAGGGTATTTGAACCAATCGCAAAAAATTTTGCATGGTCTAAATAATACAATTATTATTTTTATAGCTACAATTGCATTGTTCTTTAGTTTTAATAACAAATTATTATCAAAATTAAGTTTTTTTTATTGATTGACGTCTATCTATTTTTTGCAATTTCTATTTTGGTTGTCATCTGTCAAAATTCACCGCGCTTAGTGACGTTTCATTCAAAGAGTTGTTTCAGTGAAGTTAAAACAGTTTTTGCTCACTATAAAGTCGATTTGTCATCATGAATATTACTTCAGCAGGTAAATGACTCCTAAATCTTTCAATTTCAGCTCAATTTTAGGCTTTTAATTCCGATTATAATTTGAAAATCGCTGACTTTGCACATGCGTTTTGCAAGTCATTGTGCAAAACTTTTCCAAAAACTTGACCAAAATCGAAAAAATAGTCAAGCTGACTCAGTTTGAGTTTTGCAAAAATAGAAAATAAAGCTACGATGACTATCTACTTTTTTTTTCTCAAACATAACCTCACTTTTTCCGGTTTACAAACAATACTTTTTTCAGCGGGGATCATCTCCCTTCTTGAGGAGCCCCGCCCGGAACTGAAAGTCTTCGCTTTGAAGAAGCTCGATTCAATCGTCGATGAATTCTGGCCAGAGATTTCCGAAGCAATTGAGAAAATGTGAGTTAGAGTTTTGCCATTAATTTCCTGGTGTGATTTTGTCGAATTTCAGTGAAATTCTCCACGAGGATAAAGTATTTCAACAGCATAATCTTGCAGCGTTGGTTGCGAGTAAAGTCTACTATCATTTAGGGTCATTTGAGGACTCTCTAACTTACGCATTGGGGGCTGGGGATTTGTTTGATGTCAACGCAAGAACTGAATACGTGGAGACTATTCTCGGTTTGTGGTGATTTGGTAGCGATTTGTTTGTAATTGTGGGGTTTTTAGCGAAATGTATTGATTATTACACCCAACATCGTATTGCTTTAGCTGACAACGTCCCCGCGGCTAAACCGATCGACCCCAGATTGGAGGCTATCGTAAATCGAATGTTTCAACGTTGCTTGGATGATGGACAGTATAAACAGGCCATGGGTTTGGCTCTGGAGACCCGCCGAATGGACATTTTTGAGGCCTCTATTACTCAATCCGACGACATGTGCAATATGCTTATTTATGCGTTCCAAGTACGTTTTAAAAGTTTTTTGGACAATTGTGACAATTTGTATTTTAGGTTGCAATGAGTCTTATTCAAAATCGAGGGTTTCGTAACACCGTTCTCCGATCTCTCGTCGGTCTTTACCGAAATCTTGCAATCCCCGATTATGTCAATATGTGTCAGTGTTTAATCTTCCTTGAAGATCCACTTTCCGTGGCCGAAATTTTGGATAAATTGGTCCAAGGAGATGAAGAAAACCGTCTCATGGCTTATCAGATAGCTTTCGATTTGTATGAATCAGCGACTCAACAATTTTTGGAACGTGTTATGGTGGCTTTGAGACTTACAGCCCCCATACCGTCCTTACTTGAAGACAAACTCAAACCTAAGACTGTTGAAAGTACGTCTGAAAATACAGAAACGGAAAATAAGCCTGAAGTTAAGGAGGAAAAGTCATTGGAAAACCTGAACGAGAAAGAGAAAGAGCATCAAGAACGTTTGGAAAAGTTGCACGTTATTTTATCAGGGGAAATTTCCATTGAGTTGCATTTACAATTTTTGATTCGTTCAAATCATGCCGATTTGCTTATTTTGAAACAAACGAAAGAGACTGTTAGGGTCAGTATTTGTCACACGGCAACTGTTATTGCCAATGCTTTTATGCACAGCGGGACTACAAGTGATCAGTTTTTGAGGTTTGTCGAAAAAATTTCAATTCTGTGAAAAAAAAACTTTATTTTTAGAGATAATCTCGAATGGCTTGCGAGGGCTACAAATTGGGCGAAATTAACAGCGACTGCGTCTTTGGGGGTGATCCATCGTGGTCACGAACAAGAAGCTTTAACCTTGATGCAGAGTTATCTACCGAAAGAAGTGGGCCCCAGTGCTGGATACTCTGAAGGTGGCGGTTTGTACGCTTTAGGTTTGATTCATGCCAATCACGGGGCCAACATTATTGATTATCTTTTGGCTCAGCTTAAAGACGCCCAAAATGAGGTTTGTTACTGTTAATGGGGGTTGAAATTTCTCTTTATTTTGGAGTTCCAGATGGTACGTCATGGTGGCTGTTTGGGTTTGGGTTTGGCCGCTATGGGGACCCATCGTCAGGACGTTTACGAACAATTGAGATTCAATTTGTACCAAGATGATGCAAATACGGGCGAAGCTGCCGGTATTGCAATGGGTATGGTAATGTTAGGTTCGAAAAATCCAACAGCGATTGAGGATATGGTCGCGGTGAGTGAATTTGTTTAGTCTGCGGTCCGGTTTGAATTATTGTCAGCGAAATAAGGGTTTTTGTCGTACAATCGATGATTAATTGCGCGTCTGTCAATTTTTTGCCGGAAATTGAACGATTTCTGAAGGAGCGCTGGAAATGGTTGTTTAATAGTATTATAGTTTTGTGATGGAATAATGAGTTTGGCGACACGCGAAATATGAAGACATTTTCAGCGTGCTTGGAACGCCGCGTAAATATTTTAACGAAAATGTTTTGAATACCGTACTGTTATTATTGTGTTTGATAATAACAGGTGTTGCGGGTCTCGACGAGGGGTGATATATACGAGTCTGTTTAAACAAGAGTTTAAAATTCCGATTCAAGCCGCATAGCGGCGAGTTGTAAAACAATCATTTGGCCTTCTGTAACGAGTCATTTGTAGTTTTTTTTTATTTTGCGCTTTTTATACTGTTCATAGAAACAAAAAAAGAAATTTAGGGAATTTTAATTCATTGAATTCTCAAGATTTTTTCGTGTAGGTCCACCAGAAAGTACGGAAATTGTTGAAAATTTTGAACTTCTTCTTCTTGGATCTTCTTGGTATGGAAACGATGAACAAAAACACGATTAGCCCGTCACACCAAACTTTTATTTTAATAGCACAACGCGTTTCGACCACAAAGTGGTCATCCTCAGGTGAGAATAAAACTAATAAATACTACTAAACTAATAAATACTAATAAAACTAATAAAAGTTTTATTCTCACCTGAGGATGACCACTTTGTGGTCGAAACGCGTTGTGCTATTAAAATAAAAGTTTGGTGTGACGGGCTAATCGTGTTTTTGTTCATCGAAAATTTTGAAAGCAATTTAAGGTAAATTCTATCGGGTCTTACCCAAGATAACGCAGACTTACCCAGACATACGCAAGTTATGACGTCATTGCATTGCCAACATAAGCCTTAACGTCAAAAAAAAGACTAAAAATTACATGCGTAATGCGTATGTACTGTTAAAAGTTCAAGTGTCAATTGTCATGATTTTTTATTATTAATTTGTATAAGAATACGTTATACAGGATGCGCCAGAACTCGCGCCCCAGAGAAAAATGCCATATAAGGTAAGATACCAGGAACATGGAAAAAATGTTAAAAAAATGTTATCTATAAAAATTTCGAAGTTATGAGGGTTTAAAATTTGCACTTTGACTATTTATTTCTGTCGGAAAAATAATTTTCCAAGTTTTTTTGCTATAGGCTATTAAAAGAGGAAACAAGGAAGCTGTATCCTAAATTGTAACTCTGTTCAATGTTATTTGTAGCTTTTATTGGCAAAATTTTTGTCCCTTTACTAAATAATTGTAAAAAAACATATACAAGATCATCAATATCCTTAAATAGATATAAAAAAATGTCAAATGTCAAAAAATAAATGTCAAAATTTTGACCCTGTATGTTTTCTTATTATTTTTTCAGCAGGATGCCTTATGTTGATTTTTCGTCGTACCGTGGTGTTATGGTACGAATAACATTCAACAATTTACAATATTGAAGCTGTCAGTAACACACAGGGCTGTTAAGAGGTTTTAACAGCCTGCTTTTTTAACGCTCGGCTTTTTTGACAGTTTTGACAATTTAAATTTTTAAATATTTACGTTTTCAGAATTTAAAAATATTTTTTTTTAATAAAGTAATTTAATACGACGAAAAACGTCTTTTGTCAAACAACTGCCTCGGTCATTATGGTTTTTTTAACAGCTCATAACTATTTAAATGTATTCTGCAAATTAATACCACCTAATGGCTGGTTACTTACCGTTACTTTCAACGGCATTGTCACCAACATTTAAAACATAAAATACACTATACTGTTAATGCACTCTGAGGAGTTGTTAACACACCCAAACGAGTTTATTAAAAACGCAAAATAGGAAAAACTATACATAAGTTAATTTGAGATAAGATTAATAATTTTTTTGTTCGTTTGCTTACAAATCAATTACTCTTTGTGAAATCAAAGATCCCAAATTAATTAACGTTTACTTTATTAAATAACTAGACACGAGACGTTAAATCGTATCCGATCAATGGCGAATATAAAACTAATTAATTAGTAACACGTAATTCGTGCTCTTATCTCAGAGCAGACAAAAAATTTACTTGAAACACTTGACAGATTTTTTATTTGGCGATTTCTCCAAAGAAACGATTTTTTTTCTTTAATAATTAATTACCGTAGGTAATAATAAATTAACAAAAATAACGTTTTTTGTAGGTTAGGTTATATTTTTCACCGTTGTATTTCTGAGTAATAAATATGTAGTAGTGAAAAAAAATTGCATAAAACATTGGAGAGAAGATTTACTATTTTGACTCACTAAAGCAAATAATGAAGGTATTCGAGGTGTCGCATTGTATTTTAATATTGATTTGTTGTAAAATATTCCCTGAAATGTGTCATACAAAAATCTGTCGGTACAAAAATATCAGTCGTTTTTCATCAACTATTAAAACCGTTTTCAAATATTCATCGTACATTTTTGTCTCCACACAGTAAAGCTTACAGTTAAATATTTTATCTTCGCAATTTCCATTTAACGTGGCTTAATATTTCTCTTCTCGGTTAATTGGCTAAGAGTTTTCTCGGTCATTATTTATATTTTTTTCTTGTCGTAAATTACGACTCTAAAAAGAGCAGACTTGTTGCAAACAATGCATCCGGGCGAGGATTAGTGGAAATATTCATACATTAAACAACCCCTTAACGCTTGTGCATATTTAACGGTTCTAAACTCCCTACCCACTTAATGAAATTGTTAATGTAATCCTCCCGTCTTTGCAGCGCTCTCTCCTCGTTCAAAAACAAACTTTCGCTCTTGTGTTCCGAAAAAAAGCAGCCTAACAATAAATCTTTCTTGCGGTTTTTATTCGATAATCCAGTTTTCAGTTATGCCAAGCTTTCAACTAACTTATGAAAGCATTAATTGAATTCCGGGTGTTTAGTTAACGTTTGTTTTAACACAAAATATTCGTTTGACGAATTCCGAATTTTTTTTAGTTGTTTTTTGAAGTTATATAAAGCCTGGAAATCCATAATCAGCTGCATTGTTACATTGCGTATTCATTTACATAAATTAATGAACGCCGGATCGATGACTGATTTTGTTTGGAAGATGATGCTTTCAAAGCTTTGGCAATTGGCTGTTGTATGAAACCGTTTCTAATTAGGTCTATTTTGGTTGTGTCTGGTGCACACTCTGCCGAATAACCCCCTGCAGATATTCCGCAAACGTCACGCAAATCCCGCCCGAAATGAGAATTTTCCCCACTAAATTAACTTTAAATCTTAGTTGTTGTGATTTAAGAGAGTGACGTAATGACGTTGTGGTTATTTTAAGAATAGTAGATACAACGTAAAACCACCTGCTTATTTTCTAGTCTTGTTACGAAATTTATGTGAGATTTTTCGTTACAGTACGCCCAAGAGAGTCAGCATGAGAAGATCCTTCGAGGATTAGCGGTCGGAATAGCTTTCACCATGTACGGTCGCTTGGAAGAGGCCGATCCTCTGATAGAACAACTCACCTCCGATAAGGACCCCATCTTGAGGAGATCAGGAATGTACACTTTGGCGATGGCGTATTGCGGCACGGGACATAATCAAGCTATAAGAAAGTTACTCCATGTCGCTGTAAGTATTCCACATTCTCTTCAAAGAAAAAATTGATTTGTTAACTTTGTTAATTAATCAAGTTTGATGTCGTATTATTAATTAGTTTCAAGAAGGGGGAAAAGCGTGAAAGGGGTCGTTATTATTTTTTCCCCAATACGATAACGCAAACACAACATTATTGAATAAATGAATTTGAAATAAACGTACTTTGCGCGTTAAAATCGGTTCGAAATACACCAAAAATGACGTTCTCCCTTAATAAAGTAGTATTTTATCGTATGAAACATGAAACACGTACACAATGGGGGCGATAAAGACATGAACCAAATCATTTCGATTAATAATAATAAAAAGAATGTTAACAGTGTCACGTTTTCGGAATATTTTTCGAAAGGTCCGGAAACGTTCAGTTTTTAAAATATTCTGCACCAATCGTACGCCTTTTAATTTCAAACTAATACACCGCAAGAAAATAAAAGCATTTTTACCAACAACAAAATTAATCGTGTTTTATTCAACTCCTACGCGAAAAACTCCACACCTACGCGTGTGACAAATTTCGCGTTTTTCGTCCAAATCCGGGTATTTAAGCATCAAATATTTTTACAAACCGTGGGGATTATGATTAGTTTCCGGTTGAGGAAAGTTCGTAACGACTCCATTTTCTTCATGTTTATTTTTATGACCGATTTTTTACCTTTGATGTAGTTGCGGCAACGTAATGTTTTCTTTTCAGATTCTGTTTCTGTCGCATACAAAGCAAATGCACTCAAAAAGCAAAAAAGTTTTTTCACATTAATTTGTCATTTTTTACTACAATGACACATAATCAGAGGGGCTGTTAAAAAAAAATGTACAACCAATTTTAATTTCAAAAAAATACACGGCAGTTTCATTGTTTTTGGATTCATTACTATAATTCGAACTTAATTCTAGCTTAATTTTCGTAATTCAAAAAGAAATCCTGTAATTTAAATTTACTGCAAGTTCTAAAAAATTTACCTCTGATAATTCCAAACAGAATTCCAGTAATTCACAAATAATTTTAGTGATTCTAAAAAAAAAATACTGAAATTTTACTAATTTAATAATCACCGTAAGTCATTGTTTTGAAATTAATTTCCATAATTAATTTGAAAAGAAATCTTCGATAATTCTGAAAACAATTCCAATAATTTGTAAATAATCCCAGTAATTCACAAATAATTATAGTAATTTAACAATTTTACTGAAATTTTAGTTTTCCATTGAAATCCCATTGTTTTCACTGTATTTAGATTAATTCCTATAATTCTAACTTAATTTTTGTAATTCTGAGGGAATTCCTGAAGTTTCAAATTAATTTAGATCGTTCTAAGAAATTAAACGTAATTTTGGAAATAAATCACCTCCGATAGTTCCAAAAAGAATTCCATTAAGTCGCAAATAATTCTAGTAGTAATTCTAAAAAAAATCAATGAAATTCTACTTATTCCAGTAATTCACCGTAATTTTATTGTTTTTAAATAAATTGCTATTAAATTCTGTAATTCTAATTTAATTTTCGTAATTTTAAAAAAATTCTGTAATTCAAATTAATTCCGATGGTTCTAAGAAATACAACGTAATTTTGAAAAGAATTCATCTTCGATAATTTTACAAAGAATTCCAAAATAATTTGCAAATAATTTGAGTAATTTAAAATAAAATTGTAATTTTATTACTTGCAGATTAATTCCTATAATTCCAACTTAATTTTCGTAAATTCAAATTAATTCTGGTATTTCTAAGAAATTTAACGTAATTTTGAATAAAAATTATTTCCGATGATTCTAAAAAGAATTTCAGTAATTCCAGAAAAATTCCAGTAATTCACAACTAATTCTAGTAATTCCAAGCAATTGGTATTAAATTCCAAAAATTTATACAACTAATGGGAATTAGTTAACTCTGGAGATTTAACTTGCATTGGGAAAAAACGTGCAAAACTCAGTATTTTCTTGTTTGGGCTTAAATGTTTTTGATCCGCCACAGGACCCATTTATTTAAATCGAAGGAGAAAAAACTTGGGGCTTTAAAATTTTATCGTTTTTCGTATCTACAAAAGAAAATGTTTCCCTTGCGTTTTCTCTAATTGTAAATAATACCGCACGTTTTATTTTTGCTTCTCTTCGCTCTTCGCAAATTAAATTTTTATGCCAATTCTTAAAAATGTATAAAGTCTCACAAAAAAATCCAATTTTGCGATCGAATCACTTAAAATTATAAGAAAACACCTATTGTGCTCAAAGTATTCAAATAGGAAGGTGTTGTTGGTTTTAATTAAAATCTAATCTCTTGTTGAATTTTGCAGGTGTCCGACGTGAACGATGACGTCCGTCGTGCCGCCGTCACAGCTCTCGGATTCCTTCTGTTCAGGTAGGAATTTGATGTTGTTTTCACATCGCTTTGCATCCCATAACCGTAACGTGATTACCTCGACGTTCTTATATCGCAATTTTTACGAACGAACCTCTACTCCAGGAACATCCGGGCTCAATCGATTATCTCTCCGGTTTGTGCGAAATTTTTTACCAAAACACGATTAAATGAGGTTTTTGCAAATTAAACGCGACGGAACGGCTAGTTGGGAGGGTTTCTCCAGGGGAAAATTGCGTTTTAGAGCGGGACGTGTTGTGTGTGTTTTTTTTGGAGCAATAAGGGCGCACTTATGTCTTAACAGGTGCTTGAAAGAACGTTATTGGATTTTCCGGGAAGTCCGAAGGTTAAGGATTACGGTTCGATAAGCCACTAATTAATGTAATTGGTCACTCGGGTTAATTAATTATCCATTTCAATTAATTTTTTATAGAGGGTAATTATAAGTCAGGATCGATGTTTATGGACATTGTTTTCATACAAGGAGTTATTATTAGTTTTTGTTGTCTTTCGAATAATTTTGGGTTACTTGGACGTTGTGGTAAAATAAAATAAATTGAGGTTTTTTAAATTGGGATTAATGTTGGTTTATTTCGGGTTAAATGGGCTCTAATTTTGAGGGTTGTTTACTAAAAGTTTGTGTGTTGAGACATATGTAACTCTATTAAAAAAATTGCGGAAACTTTTATTTAGTCCACGCGTTAGCAGAAAAGTTTCAACTTGAAAAATATTATATTTTGATTTAATACACAACTAAAATGGTGTTATTGTGAATAATACAATGTAATTATTTAAATAAGCATGAATTTTATTAAACAAAATTCAAATATGAAAACATATTCATTAAAGAAAACATTTATTTACACAAATTTAACTAAGGATTAAAAGTGATGTTTTTGCTCACGTTTGGCTTCAACATATACTATTTTATTTGCAAACGTGAGTAAAGAGCAACATAATAATTTGCAAGTAAATGAACAAAAAAAACAAGACGCTTTGCAAGTAATGAAATCATAACACATGGATTAGTATCGAAATTTGTGTTAAGATTTTTGAAGGTGTTTGTTAATTTAATTAGTACAGTTAGTAGTGCAAAATGTCGAATGTTGATAATCTACAATATATCTCTTTAGAAATTGCTGAAACAGCGAAAGAGACAACAATGGTAAATGTCAATAATGTCGTGGTAAAAACACTTTATTGAATATTGAAATGTAAAACTTTTACTTGTGACATTTAGTCATAAAAGTGGCCACTTTTGTGACGTTTGCGCATAAAAGAGATTAATAAATAAAAATAAATGGGTTTATCTAGAGATTGTAAAAGTCGGTATAAATTTTGAAATTCGAATTGTTTTACAGCAAAATAAAGAATGATGTACCTACCATAATGTAATTATTAAAGGTAAATATTTTTTTATTCATGAATTCTAGACATGCTTTTTAAAATACAATTTTTAATCTATTATTAGATGCAAAAACGAGAAATAATAATATATAATTTATCTTTGATTTTGTATAGGTATTGAGTGGAAAACCATATTTTGTTGCCAGTTTTCTCCGATTTTCTTTTCCAGTTTTCCCTTTGCTGCATTTCAAGTTTTCTTTGTTATTAAACGATTAATAAAGCATAGGAGAAGTTGTGGGCAGCCCCTCTGTATACAGGGTGTTTATCGGTGTGGGTTGGCATCGTCTCCTAATCAATTTCTGATGTCGTTGTAAAGGTCGATATAGGTGAGGAGGCACGAACTAAGAACATAAGCCAGACTTGGGTCCGGGGCGGATTTCCCGTCTTATCTTCGTCTAGAGTACGTGTTCTACATGTCCTTGATCGTCCTCCTCGTCGAATTAATTTCAATAGAAATTGTTGCCGAAAACCGACACGCACGTTTCGTGTAACTCACACACACAACATCCATCAATTAACTGACCTAACAAATTAATCTGGAGATTGCAACAGCAGCCGACTTGGAAATCGATCTTGGAAATCGAAAAAGCTTAACACTCTCCTGCTTTGTTTAGGGGTTCCGGAAAACTAATTTAAATAATGTCGTAAAGACAACAAACGACTCCTACTTTAAAACGTGGGAAAGCGACGCTTGTATTTTCTGGAAAAATATTTTTACAGTTGCGCAATATAATTGTTGGAAATGGATTTTTTTTCATTTCTCTATGATGGTCATTTGGAAAAAATTCTGCACGTGATGTGAATTGCGTCAATTCCAATGATGCTAATAGTGAAAGAAACTGACGAGGCATGTAATAATAAGAAAAGCTTCTATTCGAATATGTCAAAAGCATGAATTCGCGTCGAGGGACTAAATTATAGAATGAAACAGGGGAAAACTTGTTGCGCGGTTTGTTTGAACGGACTTTTAACAAATGCGATGAAAAACACGAATTTGTTTCTTTTACTAGCCATAAATTTTACGATGATTGTTTTGTTTTATTATTTATCTTGTTAGGAGTTTTTAACGGTCTGGGTCGACGAGGTAAAGGAGCTTTTACGGACTTTTTATTATGTCAGAGAATTTTTTTGTATCAACTTATAATAACCGGAAATGGTGCATGTCGAGTCCCCCATGTTAGATAATTGAATAACCTCATATAATGCGTCGCTTCTGATTTAATCAATTAGCAAATCTTGTTGGTGGCGATTTAACCTCATCTCCTTATCTCAACCAATGATGATTTCGGTTCCGTTTCAACACCTTTCGCCAAATTAACTCGATTGATGCTCTTATCTTTTCTCACCACACGTTCGTCTCTATCGTTGGATCAAATTGCTTTCTGGTTGCAAATGCACTCGCAATAAATAAAAGCCTTCGAATTTCCATCACAATGGTTGGCGTAATTACGAACGCCACTTTTGCTTTGTACGAAAGCCCTAGAAAAAAAACCCACACGCTTTTTCTGTGTCGTCGCCTACGCGAACTTGTTGAATCCGACATGCGACCAACGTCCCGATTTAAAACTGAAACGGCAACCGAGTTAATTAAACCGCCGCGAAACGTGGCCCGAGTTGAGAAACGATCCGTCGATAAAATGCATTGTTTAATTAAAGTTTTGTTGGAGAGAAGAAGCTCGTAAATTCACAAGAAAAGACTAGCGATAATAATTAGCTTCGCACACTGCAATGACTAAAAATGTGAAGAAAAAAATCTGAATTGGCGCATAATTTGATGATTTAACAAAGGTACGACTTGCTGAAATCAAACCAATTAAAATTTTAATGACGTTTGAATAGGATGAAAAGCTGCTGCCACAGCTAAAAGCGCGCAATTGAACACCATTAAGTATTAAAACTACACGATAAAAGCCGACAGGGTAACACTTTACAATTTAATGTCAAACTACAACAATGGGATTAAAAATTATAACATCAGAACGGATTTGTTTTCAATTCGACGAAAATCATTCAAGTTTGCAATTATTTTATATCACGCGTTGAAAAATTACATTTTCTCGTTTAAATGACAAAGTTGTGTATGGAATTTATTTATAAATTGTTTCACGTTTTAAATAAATTGGACAAAAGCAATTTTTTTATGTGAGATAATCGAAATTTTAAATTTTGAATATACAGGGTGTTATTGTTACTAATTTAAACAGCTGATAGAATATTCAATACCATGGAAAAAGTTTTCGATAAACATGTATAGGAAGCTACACCCTCTGAAAGGGGTGCGTTTTTTAATGAGTTTTTCCCAATATTTCAGAAGTGTTTTTTCCTCTCTGTGTGGTTTCACCTTCAGAACCTTTTTTTCTTCTCTTGTAATACAAATAACTATTACAATTTATGTTGCAGACCTTAAACAGCATTAAAATTGAAAAAAATATTTTTTTACCCTGATTAAAAATTTGATCTTTGAGTTCATTTAGGTATTAAAAACATTTCCAGGGTGGCTCCCTTACATAATATTTTTCGCTGCATGTTCGTAAAAACTTTTTATTGAATATTTTATCCCTTGTTTAAATTTGTAACAATAAAAACGGAACACTCTGTATAGAACGACGCTTTACTGTCGTATGCAAATGTTCCGCCGTTCGCAAACACGCATTTATGCCATATTTTTCAATCAATGTCGAGACGGATACGAATTGAATTTTTCATGTACTGGAACAGATTTATTGCCAAAATTATCATAATTTTATTGTATCGATAACGCGTCTCTTGTCATAATAAACCTCAATTTTATTACTGAAATGTAGATTAATCATGTCGACGATAAAATTAAACTGAAAAGCGCTGAAACAGATATTGCAAGGAGTAAAAATAACAATTCAGGCTTCAGCTGTTCCTGAGGGATTTTCAGGACAATATACCTCAAGTAAATTTATAATGAGTGAAATTATCTCGAAAAGTCTTACTCTAATCATGACTTTTCTTTTTCTCTTTCTGAAAGAAAAAGCTTTTGTTGCATGCAAATTGGTGGCAACCTAATTGAAAACAAGTAACTTATCTGATCCAAAATGTTAATTCTCAGCTTATGTTTTCTTTATTCCATCTACTTTCCCCGACAGATTTTCTTACAAAAGAGCGACAATGTTGCCTTCATTATACTAAGAGCAAGGATTTTGCTTTTCGGTCACAAACATCTGTCCCGAGAAGGATTTATTTGTTCTTGTTGTGTCACTAAAATGTGGTAATTTTTTTCGTATTAATTCTTCTATGAAAACTTTCCACTCAGTTGCTTATAATTAACTTAAATCCATCTAGTCAGAAACTCGATTATCTTGATTATAATTCGCTAAGGCGTCATATATGGCTTTTAATGTAATAACATCGCGAATTCGCACCGTTGCATCCTTTATCGGAAAAAAACTTGGATGTAGTAGGTATAAGATATATATAAAAGCAGCTCGCATTTTCTCGAAAGTTTAGTAAATATGGGACGTGAAATTGGATTCAAGTTAAGAAAATACGCTGAATATGAGCTTCTTGTGTAAACAAGTTTTGCTGTGTGTAGAAAGCTTCGGCTTGAAAAGCACACACATACA